AAAATGATAAAGATCATGGAAGAAAAAATAGAGACAATGCTAGGAGCCCTAATACATGGCATCAACAGAATACAAAACATTACTAACAATGCACAAACACCAGAAGAGAAACTAGATAACTGGGAGCTCCTAAAAATCAAACACTTAGGCTCATCAAAAGACTTCACCACAATAGTAAAAAGACAAACTTCAGACTGGGGAAAAAATTTTTGGCTACGACAAATCCAATCAGTGTCTAATCTCTAAAATCTACAAGATACTGCAAAACCTCAACAAAAAGACGAATAATCCAATTAAAAACTGGGCAAAGGATATGAATAGGCACTTTGCCAAAGAAGACATTCAGGTGGCTAACAGACACATGAGGAAATGCTCATGATCATTAGCCATTAGAGAAATGTATATGAAAACTACAATGAGATACCACCGCACCCCAACAAGGCTAGCATTAATCCAAAAAACACAAAATAATAAATGTTGGAGAAGTTGTAGAGAGACTGGAACACTTATACACTGTTGGTGGGAATGTAAAATGGTACAACCACTTTGGAAATCGATTTAGTGCTTCCTTAAAAAGCTAAAAATAGAAGTACCATACGATCTAGCAATCTCACTCCTCGGAATATATCCTGGAGAAATAAGAGGCATCATACTAATAGATATACGCAGACCCATGTTCACTGCAGCACTGTTCACAATAGCAAAAAAATGGAAACAACCTAGGTATCCATCAACAGACAAATGGATAACCAAATTATGGTATATTCACACAATGGAATACTACGCAACAATAAAGAACAACAATGAATCCGCAAAACATCTCATAACGTGGATGAATTCTGGAAGGCATTATGCTGAGTGAAATTAGTCAGTCATAAAAGGACAAATATTGTATGAGACCACCATTATAAGAACTGAAAAAAAGGTTTAAACACAGAAGAAAACATTCTTTGATGGTTACGACGGTGGGGAGGGAGGGAGGGGGTATTCACTAACTAGACAGTAGATAAGAATTATCTTAGGTGAAGGGAAGGACAACACACAATATAGGGAAAGTGAGCACAACTGGACTAAACCAAAGCTAAGAAGTTTCCTGAATACAACCAAACACTTCGAGGGACAGAGTAGCAGGGGTGGGGGTCTGGGGACCGTGGTTTCAGGGAACATCTAGGTCAACTGGTATAACAAAGTTGATTAAGAAAATGTTCTGCGTCTCATTTTGGTGAGTGGGTCCAGGGTCTTAAAAGCCAGCGAGCAGCCATCTAAGATGCATCAATCGGTCCCAGCCTACCTGGAGCAAAGGAAAATGAAGAACACCAAAGACACAAGGAAAGTATTAGCCCAAGAGACAGAAAGGGCTACATAAACCAGAGACTCTATCAGCCTGAGACCAGAAGAACTAGATAGTGCCTGGCTACCACCAATGACCACCCTGACAGGAAACACAACATGGTGAGTCCCTGACAAAGCAGGAGAAAAGTGGGGTGCAGAACTCAAATTCCAGTATAAAGACAGACTTAATGGTCTGACTGAGACTGGAGGGAACCCAGAAGACACTGCCCCTGTACTCTGTTAGCCCAGAACTGAAACCATTCCCTAAGCCAAACTCGACTATAAGACATAAAATGATACTCGTGAAGAATATGCTTTAGTTCAAGTACACACACGAGACTAAATGGGCAGCTCCTGTCCAGAGGCGAGATGAGAAGGCAAAAAGGGACAGGAGCTGGTTGAATGGACACTTTGGAAATCTAGGGTGGAAAGGAGGAGTTTGCTGTCACATTATAGGGAGAGCAACTAGGGTCACAATTTAACGTGTGTATAAATTTTTGTATGAGAAACAAACTGTAAACTTTCACTTAAAGCACAACCAAAAAAAAAAAGGAATAATGTTTCCTTCTGCTTTCTTTACTTGGGGATGTGGAATACAGCTGAACAAAGTTAGAGGTCAATAAACCATGTACACTGGGTCTAATTCAAATTTTGTGTTTAACTTCAGCTGGTCCTCAGTGCTGCTCATTGACTCCTTTTTAGAAATTCCTATGCTGTTTCTAGAGCCCTGGTAGTGTAGTGGTTAAGAGCTCGGCTGCTAACCAAAACATTGGCAGTTCAAATCCTCCAGCCACTCCTTGGAAACCCCAAGGGGGCAGTTCTACTCTGTCCTATAAGAGTCGCTATGAGTCGGAATTGACTCGATGGCAATAAGGTATACTGTTTCCAGACAGTTCAGTTCTTAAACTTTCCCTCACTCTCAACACACGAGACCAACTTCCATATAACTACCTTCCTTCCATATAGCTCAAGGTATGCCAGTTAAGAGCTGTCTGAATACTTTCCTTTTCTCTACTTCACTTCAGGCAGGAACTAGGTGGTGCAAACGGTTAGGTGCTGGCACTAACTGAAAGGTTGGTGGTTCAAACCCGCCCAGACGTGTCTCGAATGACAGGCCCGGCAATCTGCTTCTAAAAGGTCATAGCCATGAAAACCCCATGAAGCACAGTTCTACTCTAGAACACATGGGGTTGCCCTGAGTTGGAATTGACTGGATGGTAACTAGGTACCTTATATTCATTACACTACCTGTGCTCCCCATCTTCCCTCCTATCTCATGGCTGACTTCTTGTACTGTGGACCTTAGCTCCAGCTCTAGAATTCTCTTTGGAGCACTGGTCCTGCATCTCCAAAGAACCTGAATGACCTGTCAACACCTACAACCCAAAAGTCTCATCTCTTCAATTTCTGAATACAAATAAACATCTGCACATGAGTTTTTGTGTGAACTTAAGTTCTCATTTCACTTAGGTAACTATCAAGAAGTACAAGTGTTGCTTTTACGGTAAGTGTAACTTCATAAAAAAATTGACAAATGGTTTTTTGAAGCGGCTATACCACTTTGCATTCCCATGGCAATGTAAGAAAAATGTAGTTGCTCCATATCCTGACCAATACTTGGTACTGTCAAGTTTGTTTTTGTTTTGTTTTAAATTTTAGACATTCTAATGGGCGTGTAGTAATATCTCACTGTGGCTTTAATTTGCATTTCCCTACTGACTAATTATGTTGAGCATCTTTCCAAGTACTTATTTGCCATTTGTATATCTTCTTCAGTGAGGTATCTCTTTAAAACATTTGCCTATTTTTAAATTCGGTTTTATTGCATTTTGAGAGTTCCTTATATATTCTGGATACAAGCCCTTTATCAGATAACGTGATTTGCAAGTATTTTTTCCCAGTCTATAGCTTTCCTAGGAGCCCGGTGGCACAGTGGTGAAAGCACCTGGCTGAGAACCAAAAGGTGGGCAGTTTGAACCCACCAGCCATTTCACAGGAAAAAGATGCAGCAGTCAGCTTCTATAAAGATTTACAGCCTTGGAAACCCTATGGGGCAGTTCTACTCTGTCCTACAGGGTCACTATGAGTCGGAATTGACTCAACAGCAATGGGTTTGGTTTGGTTACTGGTTTATACCTTGTCTTTTCATTCTCTTAACACTGTCTTTCAAAAGCAGATGTTCTTAATTTTTTTTTTTTAAGTCCAATTTATCAATTTTTTCTTTTAGGGATTATCCTTTTGGTGCCATATCTAAGAAATCTTTGCCTAACCCAAAGTCACAAAGATTTTTCGCCTAAAAGTTCTACAGTTTTAAGTTTTACTTTTAGGTCTATGATCCATTTTGAGTTAATTTTTACAGAGCTTGAGGTATGAATATTCTTTTTTTTTTTTTTGCATTTGGAGATTAAATTGTTGCACCAATTTGCTAAGAAGACTATTTTCTCCATTCAATTTCCTCTGTAACTTTGTCCAAAATCTGTTGACCATATATATGTTATATGTGGATCTATTTCCGGACTTTCTATTCTGTTCCATTGACCTATACATCTGTCCTTTCACCAATATGGCACTGTCCTGATTGTTGTGGCTTTTAAAGTCTTGAAATCAAAACTTCACCTTCAAAACTATTTTGGCTATTCCAGTTCTGTGGACTTTCTATATAAATTTTAGAATTGGCTTGTTTGTTCCTACAAAAAATTAGAGAATTGGATTTGTGTAGAATCTCTGGTTTGGGGATAACTCACATCTTAACAATATTCTGTTTTCCATTCCATGAACATGGTACGTCTCTTCATTTAAGTCTCTGATTTCTTTCATCAGTGCCCATACTACCTGTTCTTAAAGGACAGAATAAAAGCCCTTCCTGATGACTCCAACTGGAAGTGATTTCTTCTTTTTCTATATCTTTGTCACATAATCACGTATTATTTTAATGTTACTTAGCCCATAAATGTGTATTAGTTGTATACGAATTGTGACTTCCTCAACTGTATATTCCTCATGAGTGGAGGTTCATATATCTTCAGGAGAGAAACAAAGAATGTTAGGCTATATTTGTAATACTTAACACAGGCAGTGTATTTGTTGTAAAAGGTTAAGAGTTCAATTTTATGTTCCTGTTTCTTTGTGAGCTATATTTCTATGGTATTATCCTTAGTAGTACATATCATCTCTTGCCTGCTGTTGCAGTGGTAACTGATCTTCCAGCCTTTGGTTATGCTTTTTTCCCATTCTTGTTCCACAATGCTGTCAGAGAGACTTTTCTAACAAATACATAAAGTCACCCTTCTATAGCCTTTTCTGATTGTGGCTTTTTCATACCTCCATTCTACTGCAGAGTTCTTTACTCTAGCTCAACAGCTCTCAAATGAGGGTGATTTTGCCCCCCAGGGAGATTTGACAATATCTGGAGATATTTCTGGTTGTCACAATGGGGAGGGAGGGTTGGTGGTGCTACTAGTTCTAGTGGGTAGAGGCCAGGGATGCTGCAAAACACCCTATAATGCACAACACAACCCCCAACAACAATGAATTATCTGGCTCAAAGTGTTAATGCCGATGTTGATAAATCCTGGTCTAGCTGAAACCATTCAACTCCAACTTGAAAGTCTCATCTCTTTCATGAGATCTTCTCTGTCAGCCCCTAGCAAATTAAGGTGCTCTTTCCTGCCAAAGTCTTCTGTACACAGTCCAAATATAGGATTTACCACATTGTGTTGTTCTTAGTTGCCATTGAGTTGACCTGATTCATGGCAATCCCATGCACAACGGAATGAAATGCTGCCCAGTCCTGCCCCATACCCATTATTAGCTGCAGATCAGATCATTGCGATCCATGGGGTTTTCATGGGCTGATTTTTGGAATCAAAATATTTTTTTCCTAGTCGTTCTTAGGATGGAAGTTCTGCTGAAATCTGTTTAGTGACATACTAACACACAAGCTTCAACTGACAGTGTCTGCACATGAGATGCACTAGCCGGGAAAATTCTACCACTGAACCACCACTGCCTCCGTATTACATTTTGTAAAGGGTAGCAAATGTCTGCCTATGGCCATGGCCTTCTTGCAAATGTTTGTTTGTGGCATTGGTCTTTCTCTTTGTATTCCTTTTTAGGTAGGGAAGTCATACTACATAATACATGTTACACAGAAAAATCACAATGGCAGTATTGTGGTGAATGGATTGGATAAAAACACAGCCAAAGGCAGCACTGTAGGGGCTTAAGAAGAGCATAACCAATGGCAGATAAAAGAGACAGAACAGAGATTATAGGTAGTTCCTGACATGAGCCTTCAGAGAGTAGAGCTTCTTTACCTTTCAGGGTTTGGTCTGTTTTGTGGGGGAGAGCTCATTAACTCTTCAGTCTAATGAAAACAGAGACTTCCTCCCCAGAAAAAATGCCCATAAGTACATAATTTTATATTCAATTACAACAGAGTTCACAGACCTGAAACCCATCCAAGAATTCCAGGTAGATTAAGAACGCCCACTTTAGGAACTACGTACAGAAAAAGAAGAGATTTTGAAAACTATCTTTAAAATTAGACGGGAACAACAGTGTGGAGATTAAACAACAGACTGGAAGAATCAAAAAACAAGAGATAAGATTAAGTGGGGTGATTAACATCAGGGGAGTTATTCATGGATGATGACTTTACAGAGAAGTGGGAGATTTGCTGGTGCGGTGTAATGGATTGCTTTTCGTGTGGCCTTTCTAGCCATGGTCTTGTAACTCCCACCCAGGTGACTGGGCGGGACCGTGTGATAGGGTAATTGTAGCCCACCAAGGGGATTGGTCAGTTTTCCAATTCCACTAGGGTTGAAACAAGCCACCCCAGACTCAGGAATGAGAAGAGCCCACCACAACTAAGCCAGGAGAGACCTGCAGGAGATGGTGCAGTAGGCTTCCTGGCTTAAGGAGCGAGAAAGCTGAGTGCCTTAGGGCAGAGACTGAGGGCCAAGAGAAGCCTATGCCCAACCCATGAATTTGGGACTTGCCAGCCTCCACAATCCATGAGCCATTTCCTTTATATGGTTCTGTGAGACACTGCAGTGAAATTAGGGAACCCAAAAATGGGAGGGAAAATGCTGAGGCGAGAAGGAGTAGTTGATGTTAGAGGTGATAGAGTGGTACAGCAGCTTGGAAAATTTGGCCATGTAGGGCATCTTTAACCTCCACCTCACAGGAACCAGCTTTGTGCGATCCTTATAGAAAAAAATTATTTTGTTTAGCTGGAATAGTGAGATCTGGGGAAACAGTGAATTTGGGCAAGAGGATTAGAATTCATGGAGGGTCTGAGGTGAGGTGTAATCACTTTTGTTTTGAATAGACAGAACTAACATCCAATTTTCTAAATTAATTAAATTTAACAATTAAATTCTTAATTTTTCTTAAAATAGCTACTTACTCTTTTTAATGTTAAAAACTTAAAGGTCATTACTGTGGGATATGAGTTATAAGCTCTAATTGTTTAGAATGTGATGCTGTACTCTCATAGTCTTACCATGATTTCTTATTAGTTTCCTTAAAGCCAAGCTCATTTGTAACTTCTGAACAACTGGACATTTTATAATCAATCCTCCTCAGTACTAACTATAAAATATTTAAATGTTAAGTGTGTACTATTCAAGGACTTGATATTGTTGATTAAATATTAAATAAAGACACAACAGTACAACTAATGGAGGTCACCTAATTAGGTTTGTTTATATTTTATCATACAAATCAGCCATCAGGCCATTCTCCATCTTAATTACTCCTTTTAGTGGTTAATTTCCAATTTTTAGTCTTTTCCCTCTCCAAGTAGATAGTTTTTGAGAATTACTCTACAACCAAGTACAAAGTTATGTGCTACAAAATTATTCCACCATGTACTCTTCTCTCAAATAGTTTTGTGTGTGTACATGTCTACATTAAGGTGGCAAAACTTTTTGGATAAAGACTGCCACTTATATATTTTCAAAGAACACCTAGTCAAATTTATCGATGAGTTTAAAATAGACAATCCGTAAGGTGTTTTCTGATCTCAAATGCTATAATCCTGTGACCTACTGAAGGCACAACTCAGCTCTTAACAGTATTTTTTTCAATAGGTGTACAAGGAATGTTTTCTTCCGCCAGTCTAATTAAGTCTAATTTGAGAAATGTTTGAAAGCTGAAAAGAAAACAAAACAAGAAAGATACTTTCTAGGCTTTAAAGACCAGTAAAAGGTAGGTGAAGCAATCATTGCGCTTTGTAGGTATCTCAAACTGCCTTAGCTTACATTTAACCACAACAGGAACTCAAAATATGTGTGCATTTGCTAAAACAATAATTGCTGCATAAATATATTTAACTAACTTAAACAACTGAAATATGGGTTGTTTTAAATCACTCATGACTGGCTTGACATTTGGAAATGGCCCCTCCCAAAGATTTCCCAAGCATCTGCTTCAGTTAGCTTTAATAAATTAAATGAGTAAAGTATTCCGAATAAGGCTGAAGTTCTCATTACCCTGAAACTGTTAAAAATGTTTATTTTGTATAATTGTCTAGTCAACACACCCCCATTTTCTGAAAATGCCAAAAACAACAGAATAACTTAAAAGCAAATTTGAAAGACTCCCATGGGTAACTGGGCTTCCAAAAGCATATGTATACATATATATATGTGTGTGTATATACATACACATATATAAATGAGAATCTTACTGTGATTGAAATGCAAAATTTCTAAGTGTAAACAATTCAGAACGTGGAAATATTTGGATAAAAGCTAACGTGGGAGTCCTTTCCCATTTTAAGACAAATAAGATCGACTGCAAAATAATACTGCAAAATGATCAGCGATGAAGAAAGCGAACCCCCAGAACGGGTTCCCTCTCAGAAAATTTGGGGACGGAGTCCGGCCTGCGCCGGCACACAAGGCGGCTCCAGAGCATCCCAATCATCCCGGGGCGCCAACCTCGCCACAGACCCCCCCCTTGCCGGACCGCTCAGGCCTGTCCTCAGCTGCGGCCTGGTCAGGTCACAAAGCGCCCCTTCTACCGGCCTGGAGCCCGACCCCTACTCACTGTGAGCTCCTGAGGTGGTCAAGGATGGGGAAGAGAGGCTGCAAAGGGTGGACAGATCTGGAGAAAGGGCGAGGAAGAAGGGGGAAAAAACCGTACTCTGATCACACCCCTCCAGTCGCTAACTTCCAAACCTGCGGAGGCACAACACCGGCTGACACGCATCCTGCCCCAAAGGCACTTCCGTAAGCTCTCTAGGAATCCTGGAGGTCTGAAAGCTCTATGGTCGGCCGACTGAGGGGACGGGGGCAACGCGCACCTATCCGGCGCTACGCTTCGGTTGTTTCCTCCCGTTCCTCTGCGTTGCATAGTTGCGCGGCCTCCTGTGACTGTCAACCTCCAGAGGGATAACTGACCTTGGTATCTCCTCTGTCCCGCGCCCCTGGTCCGCTACGCCCGTTCGCTGACGAGTTTAACGGTCCCTGGGGGCAGCGCCGCTGTTGTTCGGAAGCTGGGCCTGAGTACAAGAGAAAGTTGGGTAGCGGTGGAAGAGTGCGCTTTATGGATCTACGTCCGCTAACGAAAAGATCGACAGTTCGAATCCACCAGCCGCGCCTTGGAAACCCTATGGGGCAGTTCTGCTCTGTTCTACACAGTCGCTGAGTCCAACTCAACTGCAACGGGTTTTTTATCATACTAATTAGATTTGCGTTTGGCCCTGTTAGATAACCCTAGTCTTCACTATTCTCTCTACATAAATGTATCTAGTCCTCCCACAAAGACTGAAGATTTCTTGAGGAATTCCTTCTCATAGTTCATAATTGTTTTTTTTTTTTAATCCAAAGAAAAGTGAGCCAATAGAATGCGGAAATTATCAAACAATAGCATTAATATCACACACAAGTAAAATTTTGCTGAAGATTGTTCAAAAATGTTTGCAGCAGTACATTCACAGGGAACTACCAGAAATTCAAGCTGGATTCAAAACAGGACGTGGAACGAGGGATATCTTTGCTGATGTCAGATGGATCCTGGCTGAAAGAAGAGAATATCAGAAAGATGTTTACCTGTGTTTTATTGACTATCCAAAGGCATTTATTTAACTGTATGGATCCTAACGAATTATGGAAAACAGGAATGGGAAGAATAGGTATTCCAGAACACTTAATAGTGCTTATGCGGAAACTACATAGACCAAGAGTTAGTTATTTGAACAGAACAAGGGGATACTGCATGGTTTAAAATCAGGAAAGGTGTACGTCAGGGTTGCATCCTTTAATCTGTATGCTGAGCAAATAATCTGAGAAGCTGGACTATATGAAGAAGAGCACAGCATCAGGATTGGAGGAAGACTCATTAATAACCTGAAATATGCAGATGACACAATCTTGCCTGCTGAAACTGAAGAGGTCTTAAAGCGCTCGCTTACTAATGAAGATCAAAAACTATAGCCTTCAGTATGGATTACACCTCAACATAAAACAAAAATCCTCACAACTGGACCAATAAGCAAAATCATGATAAATGGAGAAAATACTGAAGTTGTCAAGGATTTCATTTTACTTGGATCTACAATCAAGGAATCAAACGACATGGTGTGTTGAAAAGCAAAGATGTCACTTTGAGGACTAAGGTGTGCCTGACCCAAGCCATGGTGTTTTCATTTGCCTTATAAGCATGGGAAAGCTGGGCAATGAATAAGGAAGACTGAAGAATTGACACCTTTGAATTATGGTGTCAGTGAAGAGTATTGAATATACCATGGACTGCTAAAAGAACAAACAAATCTATCTTGGAAGAAGTATAGCCAGAATGCTCCTTAGGATGGCAAGACTTCGTCTCATGTACTTTTGACATGTTGTCAGTAGGGACCAGTCCCTGGAGAAGGACATCATGCTTGGTAAAGTAGAGGGTCAGTGAAAGAGAGGAAGACCCTTAACGAGATGGATTGATACAGTGGCTGCCATCATGGGCCCAAGCATAGCAAAGATTGTGAGGATGGCGCAGGACTGGGCAGTGTTTTGTTCTGTTGTATATAGGGTCGCTGTGAATCGGAACCTACTCAAAGGCACCTAACAACAACAACATGGCACCTAGTAATAGTACACCTTGTATTGTTAAGTATTCAAAAAATAATTGTAACTTATTCTTTTAGAACCATTATTTCCCACGCCTTCCCATTTTAATGAATTACAATCTCTTACAAAACATGCATTGCAGCTTAGCTCTTTAAATGCTTAACCATGACATAAGGTGACCCTAATTTTAATACTACAAAGTTTATAAAACAAAACTATGTTCATTCTTTACATACCCTTTGTATGCAAGCTTTTAACTTTTTAGACTAGATAGGATTTCAGGTGTGGAGGTTGTGAGAAATATCTTTTATTTTTGTTGTTGTTTTGGTCCTACATTTTTATTCCTTCAGGATCTTTCCTAACTACCCATTTATTCTGAGTTCTCAGATGCCCCTCCTTAAACTCTCCATCTTTTTTAATACCATGCTGTTTTTTTAAATTGTGCTTTAGATGAAGGTTTACAGAGCAAATTAGTTTCTTATTAAACAATTAATACACATATTGTTTTGTGACATTAGTTGCCAGCTCTGCAACATGTCAACACTCTCCCCTTCTCGACCTAGGGTTCCCCATTTTGTCCAGTTTTCCTGTCCCCTCCTACCTTCTCGTTCTTGTGTCTGGGCTGGTGTGCCCACTTAGTCTCGTATACATGGTTGAGCTACATGTATTATTATTTGTTTTATGGGCCTGTGTAATCTTTGGCTGAAGGGTGAACCTCAGGAGTGACTTCAGCACTGAGTTAAAAGGGTGTCCAGGGTAAACTCTCCATCTTTATCTGCTCCTGCTGGTAGCCACAACCAATGTTGCTATCGTTTTTCTCCACCCCTAACCCCAAAATAGTTTGTGCATCCAGCAGGACTAAATCTTAGTAGTTTTGATTTGTTTTTAAGTGTTTTGTCAGTAATCATTATAACAAAACAAGTAGATATCAACAAACACCAAGAAGTTATAGTGCTTCTAGACTCTTTCAAAACACTTATTTTTGTTCTTTATTAAAGAGTGCTTCCCTACTGGCTGGGTGGTAACTGGAGACAAACTACAACTCTGCTGTTTTTTTGGTTTTTTTTTTTTTACATTTCAAAAAGCATTTTGTTAACCCAAAGTTGTACACATAGGTAGTTTAGAAGTAAAATAGTATCATGATCTAGGCAAAGATTCCTCAAACTGGACTCAAACCGCACTAATGATAACAGATAAAACTGATAAATTTGTTTTTGTTAACATTTAAATCTTCTGCTCAACAAAAAGCAACATTAAGAAAGTGAACAGAGAAGCCAGAGACAAGAAACTATTAACAATGCATATATCTGACAAAGAAAGCCCTGGTGGTGCAGTGGCTAAAAGCGCTTAGCTGCTAACCAAAAAGTCAGCAGTTTGAATCCACCAGCTGCTCTGTGGGAGATGTGGCAATCTGCTTCTGTAAAGATTTACCACCTTGGAAACCCTATGGGGCAGTTTTACTCTGTCCTATAGGGTCACTATGAGTCAGAATCGATCAACAACCATGGGTTTTTGGTTTTATTGGGTTTATAGCTGACAAAGAACTGGTATCCAGGACACATAAAGAACTCTCAGAACTCAATCATAAAAGGATAAATAATCCAAAATAAATAGGCAAAATATTTGCACATACATTTTAGAAAAGATGTATGAACAGCCAATAAACACATGGTAAGGTATGCAACATCATTATTCAAGCAGAAAATACAAATGAAAACCACAATGAGTTACTACTACACATCCACTGAACTAACTAAAACTAAGAAGATTGACAATACCTAGTGTTGGTGAGGATGTGAAGCAACTGGAACTCTTGTAACACTGCTAAACCAACTGCAATTGAGTGGATTCTGACTCATGGTGACCCCATGTGTGTCAGAGTAGAGCTGTGCTGCATAGGGTTTTCAATGGCTGTGACCTTTTGGAGTAGATTGGCAGGCCTTTCTTCTGAGGCACCTCTGGGTGGCCTTGAATTGCAACCTTTTGGTTAATAGCCAAGTGCTTAACCATTTCACCACCCAGGCGGCATATACCACTGCTACAAAAAAAAAAACCAAAAACAAAAACCCCATTGCCGTAGAGACTCATAGCAACCTCTATAGGACAGGGTAGAACTGCCCCATAGTCTCCAAGGAACGCCTGGTGGATTCAAACTGCCAACCTTTTGGTTAGCAGCCGTAGCTCTTAACCACTATATCACCAGGTTTTCTATAACACTGCTAGTGGGCACTAAAATGGTAAAACCAGCAATCTCATTCCTAGGTATGTACCTAACATATGGAAACATAAGTCCACACAAAGAATGTTCACAGCAGCTTTATTCATGATAGGCAAAAACTGGAAAAAATCCAAATGTTCATTATATATTCCATGCAGTGGAATACCAGTCAGAAATAAAAAGGAGCCACTGATATATGAACAACATGGGTGAAGCACAAAAACATTATGTTAACTGGAAAGCCTTATATGAACATATGTTTAAGAACAAGTTAAACTAATCTATGGTGTTTACCCTTGACTGGTGTGTGGTTACATAGTTGTATACATACATAAAAATTCACTTAGCTGTACATCTAAGACTTGTGTATTTTAATAAATTTTTAAAAAGTAAAATGGTACTCTAAGGTTCATAGTGAAAACCACAAGGCTTCACTCCTCCCTTTTCCTTCAATACCTACTCCTCAGATATAACCACTTTAATTCTTTCCCTTCACTTTGGTGTTTAACTCCATATTCCTAAATAACATGCCAATGCTGCCATTTCTTGATTTTCACATATATTTTATATTGATTGACTTCCTATTATGGAAAACGGATACTTAACCTTCTTAAGGAGTCTTGGTGGCACAGTGGTTAAGAGCTACAGCTGCTAACCAAAAGGTCGGCAGTTCGAATCCACTAGCTGCTCCTTGGAAACCCTATGGGGTAGTTCTACCCTGTCCTACAGGGTCAGAATTGACTCAATGGCAATGGGTTATGGGTTTGTCTTAGTCATCTAGTGCTGCTGTAACAGACATACCACAAGTGGATGGTTTTAATGAAGAGAAATTTATTTCCTCATAGTCAAAGTAGGCTAAAAGTCCAAATTCAGGGCATCAGCTCCAGGGGAAGGCTTTTTCTCTGTCGGCCTTTG